CGGACCCACAGCGCCCACTAGCGGCCGCGCGCCCTTCCCTGCGCGGCGCGAGCCCGAGGTCCGTCCCCCTGCCGGGCACAGGACCCCGCGGGAGATCCGTGGAGTCAGAACGTCCGGAGGGAGAAATCTTCTTAAGCGGCCGAGGCAGGAAGGACACGCGGAAATACGGCCCCGGGCACACGGGCAGTCCACCGGTTGGAGCAAGTTAAACCACAGAATGCGTTGTGTGCCCACGTGGCTTCCCCCCAGCCCTTATGTTGTCCACGCCCTGGATTTCTCTACCCTTCAATCGCAACGAATCGGACAGCCTTTCGACATTTTTCACCCAATTGTCCGCTAAGCTGAAAGTACAAGAGAAGATGCATACGGTGAAACACTTTGTTTAGAGACGTGTTGATTTTTCTTTCGCGCTTCTATAATAACAATTTCTAAAGATGTTATTCTTTTAGGTATTCCTTTTTGAAATTCCTTTTGAATTCCTTTTAGGTAAGCGTGCATTTCAATTGGTGTCAAAAGCTTGTAAAGTTGAGTTTGTCGAGATCAAAAACGAGGTGTGCAAAGCACTGAACACACTCATTCTTCCAAATAGAACAGAACGCTTTTTCATAATTACTAATTTTCATAAGTCTTCAACTTGAGGAAATCTGTATTTTTTTTTAAAGGTTCAAATACGGTATACCAATGTAAACTTAGCAGTAGATTCCCAGCAAAGACTAAAAAAAACAAAAAAACAAAAAACAAAAAATCAGGAAGGGGCAGGCGCTGTGATTCCTGACTTCACAAGACTAAAAAATGACTCGTTTGCAATATGCTTTAAGTTACCTAGGGATTTGCTGAAATCGACTATCACATTAGCTTAATGATCTTTAAAACGAACTAAACTATGAGCATCTCAGTTCCTTTCATGTTTAGCAAATTTATATTATGAATTTAAGTTGTGACCTCTTAGCTGGTTACATCCTCTTCCCCAAGTAAACGAGAGGAAATAGAGGAAATTTGCATTGTCTGAAAATAACCCAGCCTCTAAAAATAACATTTTCAGTAAATCAGATACTCTCACATCCCAAGTATTTTATCTTGGGAAAACTGTAAATATACATTAAAAGGTTGCTTCCTTTTAAAAACAAAGTGCATGTTTAACTGAAAAGAAAAATAAAGAAAAAAAAAACTTTAGAGTACGGGCACAGAGAACATACTTTCAGTAAACAGACTCGCTGTAGAGACTATGTAAAAATCATCAGCAGTGGCAAATATTCTATTACTGTTTAAACAGTCATTTGGGTAACTAAAAGCATCACCTCAAGCCACTTGTATCTGGTGTGGTATGTATATCATGCCAGGCAGACAGTCATATTGGCATGCACCAAAGACCAAGCAGAAATCCAAAAGCACACCAAACCAAGAACCAATCACATCAGCTTAATACCTCTTGGTATTTGGCTTCATTTTACCATTAAAGTCTTGGGAAAACTTGGTTAGCTTTGAAAATCTTTAATTCTACTAGGATGAAATAACTCCCTATATATATATATATATATTATATATATATAATATATATATATTATATATATATTATTTATAAATATATATATTATTTCAACAAAGGTTATTTCACTGTGTTCTAGAGTTAATAAGGAAGTTTCTAAAAGTCAAATTAATAAAGACTTGGAAATTTCAAAGGTACACTGTAGTCAAGTTAATATAAAGTTGCTTAGACGTAGCAAAAGTTGGCAAATATAAGAATTATATAATTATAGCTTTTAAAAAGAGTGCAATTCTGCCCCCCTCAGAAAGCACCTTACTCTACTATTATGTTTCTGTCCTTCTGCCTTCTAGGTGTGTTTTGGGCTTTAGAACTTAGGGTTATTTCTTACATGGCATTCCATCATTTCTAAGACCAATTTCAGAAAACATGTAACATAACTTCCATGAGAACTTTAGAGAACACCGATTGAAACACCCCGCCCCCCCCAAAAAATCACTGTATTTGACACGTTGTGTTGTCCAAGACATGAATCTTCTCTCCTAAAATCATACCGTTTTCTATCCTTGTATGCTGTTTATTTCACACACACCACTGAAGTTTTTACAACCCTTCAGCAAGTCACATTTCACCCCATTTATCCTGAAAGATCTTTCTGAACAAGGGTAAAACAAAATACTTTCTTAAAATTAACTTTGCCATACACCCATCCCCCACCTATCTGTTTCTAAAGTTCATTTTCTATTAGAGCCTGCTTATTTGCTTGGTAGCAAATATATCAGGTCAAAGGAGTATCATTCTTCTCTCTGGGAAGTCTGATGACAGCTCATACCTTATTGACTGTAACATATTTCTTGCAGAGGAAAAAGACCCTATTTTCCACTAACAGCCATTTAAATCTGCAGCTCAGCCCATCATTTCTTTCACAGCATTACTAATGGAAATACAAGCTTGGGACACCTGGTCTGAAACTGCATTTCCTTATTCCCAAACCCGAAGGTTTGGAGGACCCAAGTCTACGCAAGCCCCCCAAGCTGGATGATGCCGTGGCGGCGATCAAGGAGATGGTGCCAGCTAGCTGTGCAGTTGTCACGACATCACTAACTCTAATCCTCGACCCTCTCTAAACAGGATTTCCACCCCCCCACATGGACCGATTTGATATAGGCACACTGTGTTTGAAAATAAAGTTGAATGCTGTTATAAACATATGAGGGCAATTCCTGACCATTGTTACAAGGTACCACCCCCCATCCTTGGTCCATAAAATCATGTTTTGCCTGTCTTTACGCCACTTCACAATATGAGGTTCAACAGCCCCAAACCCAACTGTCATGATGTATTTTTCTGTTAACTCTTTATTCCACTTGACATTTTTTGAATCCAAAATGAAAACCTAGAAAATGAGAAATCATAATCCAGAGGTATACAGTAAGCAAATCCATTTTATTCTAACTTGAATAATCCCGGATTGGGTGAGCAACAGCCGTACTCACCTTAGAAAACATGACACTCTTAAGAACACGCACACTTTGGATGCGTGACAGTGAAAACCGCCGGATGGCGGATGGCGGGAAATGCTAAACGTACTAGCTGCAGGTAGTTCTGAAGAATGTATATAAAAACGCAACGGAGGCCACGCTCAGTGGCTCAGCCCGTAATCCCAGCACTCTGGGAGGCCGAAGCAAGTGGATTGCCTGAGCCCACAGGTTCGAGACCAGCCAGGGCCACTTGGCGAGACCTCGTCTCTACAATAAAACTTAAAGAACAAAACAATTGCAGGGCGTGGTAGCTCCCGACTGTAGTTCCAGCTACTCAGAAGGCTGAGGCAGAAGGATCACTGGAGCCCAGAAGGTCGGCGCTGGGTGGCTGTGAGCGTGCGTGCTGCTGCACTCCAGTCTGGGTGACGGAGTGGCTCCAACTCAAAAAAAAAAAAAAAAAATTACAACTGTTCAAGTATTCTTTGATCACTGGAGGCTCGGGAAGAGAAATGTTCAAGTACGACTTCCAATACAGTGTTTAATTTACAAACCCAAAAATGGCTTAGGCATAAGAGCACCTATCATCACATTTGCAGGACCCGTGAACTCAGAGCCAAGTCCCAAGGAGATGCTCTGCGTGGGTGGGAGGCGAGTTCACACACGCCCTCAACTCCGGTTAGGTCTTCTGCTTCCCTGCGTCGCCTCCCCGCATCAACTCGGTCCCTCTAGTAACCACGCACAAACAAGCCGCCACAGATCTGGCAACGCACGCCCATCACGAGCAAGCAATGGCAAGATCGATGGGATGTGGCAACCCCACACACAAAAAAAGCAGTGCCTGCTGCTTGGGCTTCAACCACCATGGTGGACTTCCAGGTGGAGGCCTTTCTTCTCTGACTTCGGCTGTCCCTGTTAGGCCCTCTCACTAAGTAAAAAACGCTCTAGTAAGTACGTGAGTGCGCGGAGGACTCTCTGGGGGGCTCTCCGAAGTCAGCATAGCCTGTCTTAGGCACTTCGCGCAGCCAGTAATGCAAAGCAGATGAACGGTTCCGGGTGTAAAGGTGGAGAAAATTGAGACAACTGGAAACAGACGCTCTAGCTAACAGCAGTCGCTTTGGAGAAATGTCAGCTAAGTGACAAACCTGAGGCTCCTTAATATCAAATGAGGCACTAGAAATGATATGTAGAGTTCAGTGAGCCGGGAGCCTATGCTTATTTTATTCCAGAAACCTAACAAAATACAAGCCACTGAAGTTTCTTAAGATCCTGCTTAATCCAGGATGCGTGGTGATCTAGAAAAGCTACAGACGCTTACTAGCACAATTAAATAACTGAGATAACCAAGAACAGAAACAGCCTAACTTGCCACATGTTCATAAGAAACCGTAAGTAGTACATCTTAAGCTACAAACCCCTTCCCCTATTTAAAGCATTAAAGAGTCCTCACACCAGGCTAATTTAAAGGTTTCATTTATACAATTGATTATTCTGCAAACCACAATATAAATGGCAATAACTACATAAATACTGTAATAAAAATAAACAGTCATTAGTTAATTCTATAATGCATTAAGAATAACCTAAAAAAACAAATCATGGATAAAGGCGTATTTAATAAATTAGGGAACATCTTAACTGCTAAGAGATTGGGAGAAAAATTTAACCTTTATAATATGTACACAAAGGCAGTAGAAACAAATGAAGAAAACAAATTACTACATTGTTGCGGCACAGAAAAGACTGGGTGTACACTGTTAACAATTACATCCTCTTTCCCATAGCTTGGCAGAGAACAGTAGTCAGTGACCAAGCACAGGAACAATTTCAATATCTCATTGGAGGCTCCAACAGCAAGCAGATACTGTAATATGTCATTAGGCAACTTACTGTGATTTCATACCATATGTGGCAGTAAGATACGTTAAAAAAATTAAAAGGCACGCATAAGCTGATTTCAGATAGTTTAGTCCAGGCTACTCTCTTTAGATACAATGTTTAGAACACTTGGATAGCAAAGCAATTTTTAAATAAACATTTCCAAAAACTTAAATACAGAATTTAGGAATGATAAATCTGCACCCAAAAAAGTTACATTAAAAAAAGTGTAAGAAGCATGAAATAATTACAGCTAAACTATATTTAGAGAGAAAAGATTTGTAGGCAAGCTATAATCTTTAGGAAAATAAAATTAATGCTTGATTTTAGAGTAATAGGTATTATGTTTACTAATAGTTCTCACTACAGCTCATGCCTATTTAAATTTCTACCTTTAAAGATATTTAAACGGATTTTATTGCTCCTTACCACAATTAGACTCACTGAAGAGCTCAAAACTAAAGCAATAGCATTTCTCTTAGCATGCACACACAAAATAATCTACCAATTAGTCATCTCATTAACTTATGTTTTCAATTTTAAGGAATGACCAAACTGTCTCGAAAACATTGGGCAACATTTTCTCTACTTGATGACGTGTTTATGCATGGCAGGTAGCAATTTTATATCCACATCCTTTTCTTGAATAAATGTTTTAATACCAGTAGACTTAAACATATGTCAGGGTAAATGAGGCAGATTCTAGTGTATAAAATGAAAGAGTCATCCACAAGGTTCCACATGCAAAAAAACCCCAAAACCTCATGAAGAGTTTAAAGGGATTTGTCCCAAAAGTAAACGTGCAAGTACACTACACGGAAGATGATTTGACCATCTTAGCCTTTTCTGAAAGTAAAAAGCTAAGTTCTTTCTGATGGCCCACTTTAAAAATGATCTAAGATTCCATAAATTTTTAAAAGCAATTTTCTAGTCTTTATTAAGTATAACTTGTGATAATATTTATATCCTAAAACAGAGGCACAGGTTGAGACGGTACATCTCCTTTTGGGTGTTGTTAGTCTTTCTTAAAGGTAATACTGATGTCACAGTTGCTCTATTAGCATAAAGTTGATATCTGTAAAAATAGCAATTAAATACTAATTCACAAGTATATTTAATGTACATATAAACGCTATGTTAAAAGTATAAACGAGAGGAAATATAGCATAGTTCTAAGATTTCTAAATTGTTGACCATCAAAAAGTAAACCACCCTCTTTAAGACTTAACATAACTTCAAAAAAAATTGCTTAAACATATGAATTTAAGACTTTACTTTATTCAGCAAAATCATTTATTTACACAATGGGGAATGCTGGTTTGATTTTGTCAATGAAATAAAAACAAATTGAACAGAGACAATACTGAACTGTATATATATTTTGCATCAGAGTTGAGCAATGGTTTCCTTACCTGTATCAGGAACATCAAGAGCAACAGTATCATAAGGACACTGGTTTAACAATACACCACATGGGTCCAGTAATACTCTGGGAAATTTCCAATGCAATTACCAACTTTTTCTTTTTTTATAAATATATAAAAAAACAAAAAGTCAGCAAAACCAGCATTATGATGTAGTAAACAGAGTATAACTCTGAAGTCAGCGGGTCAGTAAAAACCTTATCAGACCACTCAGTTTACAAAGTGATCTGTCCTTCTTCAGACCACCATACAGAATCCAAACAGATGAAAAATATATCACTTTTTAGAAGACAGCAATGATCTGATAAGGATTTGACTTAATGGAAGTTAAAGGGAAAAAAAGAAGGAATTGCAGAGCATAGCCCCTATTAGAACAAGCTAACTTTCCAGAATTTACAAATTAAAAAAAAACAAAACAAAAACAAAAAAACCACTTCAACATGAAGCTACCATACAAAGTTTTTCCATTTTTCTTTGTAAAAAGTTCAGAGTTTGCAATTTAATCCTGGGTTTTTAATGAGAAGGACAGTTTTGGTCTGGACTTCCCCTTGCCCAGGATAATTTTTTGCTCTTCTTTTTGTTGACGCTGTCGCTCTTGTTCTAGTTTCATCCTTTCCTCATGAATCTTTCTTTGTTCTTCAACAATTCTTAACTGTTCTTCAGCCTGAAAGTTAAAATTAAAAATTAATTATATAAAAGTATTAAATTATCACATGCACCCTGAAAATATGTACATCTGTCATGCAGCAATAAAATTTTTTAAAAGCAAAAACATAAAAATAAGGACTCTACATAAATTCTGTCTCCAATTAGTAATATTTTAGGTATCAGGTGGCAACTTACAACCAAAATGAACATATAATAAAGTTTTTCATAAAATTTGACTGAAGTCACACAATACATGGTAGAGAAAGAAGAATTAAGAATCAGAAAAGAACACTTTATTAATTAAATGAACAAATTATAGAAAAGCACTTATACATTTTGGAAATGGAAATGAAACTTCCACAAATCATGTTCTGAGATCAGTATGAATTTTGTTCTATGCCTACCTCAGATTAACAATCTGTCATTATAAACCAAAGCACAGATTTATTCAGAGCATGTTAACTGCCAATTACCATATTCATAATTAGAAAGGCATACAAAAAAATTATTTAAAAAATTCCATTGGGGCTATAATGTCAATATACAATCAAGAAAAACTACTGACCTAATTCCCTGAAAAAAAAAAAAAAAATTGAAAACCTGACCAGGCTAACTATAAAATGCGATCCAATTTCAAATGGACACTGGTATAATTAACTCCTGAAGTACCTTCAACTCTTTCAGTCTCAAGCAACTAACTTCTCCTGCATTCTTCAAGAGATCTCCGTTACCAAAAAAATTCAGGCCATTATCATGGACTCAGCTCTGCCTCTCAGACATACCATACCACAGCCTCAATTTTCATACCAGGTGCAATCCCTCACCCCGCCCCCCCACCCCAGGACATTACATGGCGATAATTCTGGCTATCACAAGCAGGACAGCTCCTGCATCTAGTGGGTAAAAAAAGGACAACACTAGACATCTTACAATGCAGAAGACAGCCTCCACAACAAAGAATGATCCACCCCAAATGCTAACAGTGCCAAGGTTGAGAATGCCTGTTCTACTGCTGGAACGTTTAATCTCAGTAATCATGGGTAGTCCTTTTTCCCTGACTTTCACCTTAAAAAATTCACTGCAGCCTTTGAGCTGCCTTCCTATTCCCAAAGTCAAATTTTAGGTGACTGCTTTCATCGCCATCATTCTACTGAAATTATTTTCTAGATGATCAAAAACTATCAATAAATTCAGTGACCTTTCTCTTTATTCAAATAAACTATTCTGCTCACTTGTCTTTAAAAAATGTTCTCTCCCCCAATACATTCTCTAACACAAAAACACTGAAGTTCTCCACCTGATTTCTTTTTGTCTTCATTGATTTTTTTTTTTTTTTGAAGTAAAAGAAATGTGACTGGATTATAAGCTTTATGGCAAGAGAAAATGGGAAAGGAAACGGACTCTGGTACACAACACAAAATGCTTAAATTTTGCTGTTTGAGTAACAAAAGGGAAAAAACAAAGGTTTAGGGCAGCAATCAATGTGGGGTAGACTAAAAGGCAAATGAGAAATGCTGGGGCAAATCCACAATCAGAACAGAGGTAATGAGGATCAGAATTAGAGGTACTGAGAATCTGATAGGTAGGGAAGGCAGAAAATCCAACTGAGAGCTAAAATATATCTGTATCTCTCTAAGACCTTTGCCCTAGGCTACATTTACAGTTGGCAACTGGACACACCTACGTTGGGAGACCTAGGAATTTCTTCAATATTCAACAGGTTCAAGATTTAATTCTTCCACCCTCCCCTTAAAATAAATCTGCACTTTCTACCGGCCCTACTGCTCCCAAATTCTATAGCTCTGTTTCGTCTCCTCCTTATTCCCTTGAAAAGAATAAAACAGTCATCATGCTGTCTATTTTCATTTCTGTTGCCACCACACCAGTTGTGGGTCACACATCTTTTTATAAACCTAAAACACTGTCCATGTTTCCAGTGCTATTCAATCCATCCTACACATACTACACTAGATTTGCCTATCCTGACCACTGGTCGCTCCTGCCCTCAAACTCTCAACGATTTCCACTGTCCACAGAATACAGCTTAACTTTCTGAATCAGCTTGCTAAGATTTTTCTATAACCTGGCTCCAACTTTGTTTCTACTATGTACTCTTTTTACTACGTAACCCGTTCTACCTCGACCCCACCTCCCTTTTGCTCATGCTATTCTCTTCTCCTACTGAAATCCTATCTGCACAACAGAATCCATTTCCAAAAGCCACTCTCTTCTCTACTATTTCACTGATAATCACCACAAAAAGAATTATCTTCTCCTGATCACCTTTATGGAATTCATATACCAATCACTTTATCTAGAGTTTTAATAAAACATCACACATTTGGGGCAAGAGCTTAGTGTGCAAGTGAATCAAGGTGTAAAGATTCCTGGCATGTGCGCATGTTGTTGGGAAACTTTTATCAATACACACACCCAGAGTCACTTTTCCCTGAGGTTCCCCAAAAAGCTCACTAGAACCTTGGGGAGTGAGGGTGAAAGAACACAAAGCACACCATTACAACCTCAACCCACAAGAGCAATCTCATTAAAATTACAGAGATAGGCCAGTGAGGGTGCCTATAATCCCAGCACTTTGGGAGGCCAAGGTGAGGGAAGTGCCTGAGACCATGGGTTTGAGAATAGCCTGGGCAACTTGGCGAGACCTTGTCTCTACAATAAAAACAAAAAAATTAGCCAGGCATGGTAGTGCGCGTCTGTAGTTCCGGCTACTTGGAAGGCTGAGGCGGAAGGATCACCTGAACCCAGCAGGTGGGTAGCTGTGAGCGTGCACTCCAGCCTGGGCAATTGAGACTCCAACTCAATATATATGCAACAGAGTTATCGTTTTTGTGTTTTTTTCTTAAATCCCATAAAGTTGACAAAAATTCAAAAGTGTGATAACATACTGGTAAGCTTTGAATATGGACCCCAAAGTTCATGTGCTGCAAATGTAATTGCCACCGTAACAGTATTAAAGAGTGAGGTCTTTTGGCTGAGCATGGTGGCCCACACCTATAATCTCAGCACTTTGTGAGGCCAAGGCAAGATGATGTAGTGAGACTTCACCTCTAGAAAAAAATAAAATAATTCGCCTGCTGTGGTGGTGCACGCCTGTAACCCAGGTACTCGGGAGGCTTAAGTGGAAAGATCACCCAAGCCAAGGAGGTCAAGGCAGTGGTAAACCATGATTATACCAGTGCGCTCCAGCCTGGAATGAGACAAACTGAGACAACAAAATCAAACCAACAGCAGGAAAAGCGATGGGCCTTGAAGAAGTGATGAGGCCATGAAGGATCCCCTCTCCGGACTGGATCAGCGCCATCGTCAACCCCAGCGGAAAGGGGGGCAGTGACCGCTGGAGTGGGCTCCTGATAAAAAGATGGGCCTGCCAACCACTTTCTCGCTCTCTCTCTCAAGTCCCCTACCCTCTCTGTCTAGCTCACTCACTGTGTGATGCCCTCTGCCATGGAAAGACCCTCACCAGATGCTGGTGCCAGGCGTTTAAACTCCCAGACTCCAGAACACTTCTGTTTGTATAAATTAACGAGTCTCGGGTATTCTGTTATGGCAGCAAAACGCAGACTAACATGCATGCAATCATATGAAGAGCACTCTGACACTGTCAAAATTTTATCTTTATAGTACTTTAACACAGCAATTCCATTTTCTTGAATTTCTTACATATACTTGCATGGACACACCCACAAAATAAATGTATTTACAAAGTTATTGTTACAATATAGTGTATTTAAAAGACTGTAAAAAAATATTCACCACTCTGGGACTGACTAAAATTGTGGAATACTTATAAAACAACATTGTATAGTTGTCCAAAAAAGGAGGGAAAAGGAGTCCCTTATATTCAGAAACAAAAAAATCTCCAAGTTACACTATTAAATGTAAAAAGGAAAGTACCACACACACGTATACGTCTGTACAATAAAAGACTAAAACCATTTTGTAGTTGTATCTGCCTGAAGATGCAGTTTAAAAATTCTGAAAAAAAAAAAAAAAAGCATATACCTATTGGAGATGGGGATGGGAAGTTAGTGGATGAAGGAGAAAAAGGAGAAAGACTTCAGTTTTTCTTTTAAAACATTTTTAAGCCATATAATCATATTACTTAATGAAAAATAAAAACAAGGCTTTTAGAGTAAAGCAACTTCCTTCACAGACAGAAAATACTAATTCGACTGCACTTTAGATTAGACAAAGAATCAAGTTTCATTTTCACTTAGGTCTAAAAAAACAGGAGATAGAAGTGTTTATGTTGGTTTTTCTCTCAGACTACAGTTCAACAGGGTTAATCCCTAGTGCTACTGTACCTATTAGATTTATGTAATGCAATGAGTTTTTTAGAAGTTCATGTATATAATGTATATTTTGACCTATTATAGCTTCAAACTAAGCATAAATGTTATTCGATTACACTTTGACAAAGAAAAATAAAACTAATCAAACATAAAACCAACAATCACCTCTTATTTTAATATAGTTTCTCTCATATGATTAAAAATCTGGTTTCCTAGATATCATCTCTAAGTGTGGTATGAGCCTATACCTTGCCTGCTAGGTTATTTTCCTACGGCCTTTCCCTCCCCTCCCCTTCCCTCTGCAGTAACATATTTTCCTTCCTAGTGATTTTACTTGCCAGAGAAAATATCTGTTGTTCCTCTCCTCTTTTCTGTTTCAATTTATGCAGAAGAAAGCAGTCTCCACATTGGGGAGTTGGGAGGCATGCCTGTGTATTCGTATAGATGAGTATACTAAGCGCAACCAAAAGGATTATGTGGCAGGCATCGTGGAGGCCAAGGAGAAAGCCAACACCCACAATCTCAGAACCATTACATTAGGATGGACACTCCTAGCCATTATGCTCAGGACACTTGTTCTGTCTCATAAAGGTGTCTTTCAACCCTGCAACACAACCCAACCCAACCCAAAGACAAGATTGGTGAGAAGAAACAAAACAAAATGTACATTATAGTTACCCCTCCCAGTACCTCTGCCCCACCC